GCCAGATAGGATATCGACATTGGTTCTTCGTTGATGATGATGAGACTATTCCAGCATTGTCAATTACGAGCTTTTGCTGTGCTCTTATTTGGTGGTACTCGTGATGCAATTCTGCTACTGGTTCAAGGTCACGACTATCTGGTCTCATGTGTATGATGCTGTTTGATTTCTGAATTTCGCTATCGCTCATTTTCCTTGCAATTTGGTATCGGAGCTGTGGTACGTTGCACTCATTTGGCGCTTGTCTTCTGCCTATGCAGTACATGCATACGGTCTGCTAAATGACCGGCCGTAGGGAGTGTCTAGGGAGGAGGGCGAAGACAAGTAGGCGACCCAGGAGGTGAGGGGTATCGCTAGGAAGGCTACGTGGTGAATATTGGGTGTTCGCAGTGTGATGAGAACTATCCGATGTGCGATTGATGTTGAGGTGGAACGGCGGTGTAATGCTGGTTGTGCCGAAGCAGCGATTGGTCATCACAATCGGCATCGGGTCATCTGGTGAGAACATTTGTGGTTGGGGGCAGCTATTTTGAGGTACGTTGCGCCTAACCTTATCGACTCTCTTCGACACTTCTTACCGTGAGGATGTGTGTTCGGTCTTGAGAGTCCTCTCATGTGAGGAGTCGAGTGCGCTCAACCTTGAGAGTCGTCAGTATTCACATGGAGCATATGGAAGGAGAGGGCGGTGCGAAGCACTGGGTCACGGTCACCATGCCAACCCACCGGGAGTAGAGCACGCATACTTTGCTGCTTTGTCCTTTGTCTGCTCGCTGCGCTGTAGATGGGTTCTGAGGGGCAGGCCAGCCCTACGGGAAAAACGAGTACCGGACATTTATAAATAAGTACCGGCAGGGACCTTCCATTGGTTGTGATCGTCGTCCTGTCTGCGACGTTAAATAATTCCTGAGGACTTCGGGGGCCGTCCATAAAAACGCCTCCTGATCAACCGATCGGTCGGTGTAAGGCTCGCTGCACGCGAGGATAAAAATTGTGCAGGGCTGGCCAGCTCAGCAGGACTCGGGGCACAGGGGTGGGCCGTGTGCACACCTTTAGACACGCACACTGTTTCGGATTGCTCAGGGACGCTGCCAACAAGAGACATTCATGAAGAACTGAGGGAGGGGTAAATTCCAGGTGATAAATTTGGGAAAGATTCCACTCTACAACCAACCAACCAAATGATTCTATTTTTATTTTGATTAGTTAGATGTACAACCATTAAGATATGACAGACAACATGGTTAGAACTGTTCTCTGTTCATTGTGCTTTCTGTTTGTGAACTAGTCAAAGTAGAAATAGTCTCGTTTGTAGGAATCTGAACTTACCTGTTAGACCCAAATGTAAAGTCTCCGATAAAACCCCCGATTATTGATATTTATTTTAAATCGGTCTGTGCATTATGCTGCGGTAGGCATCAAGTGTGACCTAGTGCAGATTGTGTATAGTTTTGTAGCTTATGAGCGACAGGCAGACCACTAGCGAGGACGACAGGATCTTGCGATCGGCGAGATGCCCAATAGCCCACATGGCATTAGGACCCGAGGGTGACATGTTACTATTCCGCCAGCTTAGGGAGAGACACCAGCAGCAACGGAGAGCTCGACCAGCAGAGACCCGCAGGGCGTTCGCAAGTGAAGCCGCTACTTCAGCAGTCATGGCAACTGCTGCACAGCATAGTTCCCACACCAGCAGTTCAGGGACAGTAGGGTCAACGATTGCGCAGACCCTTCGTCAGTCCATTGGTGTTATGGCAAGCCAGCAATAGTGTTCACCCCTGAAGAGGTCGCCATACAGAAGGTAGCACTGCAAGAGGCACAACTACAGAAGGCTCTAGGAGAGATAAAGGCAAAGAAAGAGAGGATGGTTATTAGAAGAGCCAGGTTACAGCGGACACAAGCGGACGTTAGTGAGTTAGAGGGGATGGATCTGATGCACATGGATGATGATGTGAGGACTTTGCGTGCAGTCCTGCTAGATGTAGTAGAAATGCAGGACCACCAGACGACTCTCGTACAGGACATCCAATAGAGTCTGGCTGTATTGGTCGGGCGAGCGCAAGCAGCTCCATCGTCGTCCGGGCCCGGTGCCTGGCCCGTTGTACATCCTCCTCCTTTTGTCCCATCGATGACTGGGGTATCCCCATATGTCTCTCCAACATCGGTCCAAGCCGTTTCCCTAGGTATGCCGCTAACAGGAGGGTTCTCAGTAGGTCCTAGTGTACAGGTTCCTGTCCAGTCAGTGTATTCCCAACCTCCTTCGCAGGTTGCCGTAACCGGACAGCCTGCTGTCTTGCAGCCTGCACAACCACAGGGTACACAACCCCAGCAGCAGCTAGTGCAACAGCCTAGTCCCCAAGGTCCACAACCTGGAGTGAGATAGGTACCAGGACAAACCCAATGGGTTCCAAAGACGGCCATCGCCTCTCCCAAACCCTTTTCAGGGGACAAGAGGGGCGAAGACCTCGACACATGGTTGAGGTCAGTGCCAGTCTATGTCAAGTGTAAATTGACCTTGCCGCACGAGGAAGTGCTTGTGGCTGCCTCCTATTTAGAGCAGAGTGCAGCAAGATGGTTGAGTGGTCTAGTGCAACTACAGGGATACGGTCATGACTTTCGCGCTTGGGCAGTTAACCAGAAACTGGACGACTTCCTCAAGCTGGTGGAAGATAGGTGGCATGATCCTCAAGAGGCTCAAAAGGCCACTGACGCGATCCTGACTCTGAACAACAGGCAGCTCAAGTCAGTAAGGGAGGCCACGGACGCAGTAGAGCGTCTGATCTGTGTTCCTGGAGTACGCTACGACCCCCAGATTTTACTCACCTCATACTTGAGATGTTTTCCTTTGCCTCTCAGGAATCAGTTGGCAGGTGAGGCGAACATCAATATACACATTTTTCCATCGTTCAGAAAGAAGGCCCTAGACTTAGAGGCAAAGATAGGGCATGGACATACACCCACGACGGACGGAAGGAAGAAGTCACTGCCTCCCAACCGGAAGGCGAAGGGTCGCATCATGTTCATCGACAACGATGGTTCTACCATCGAGTTAGAAGACGGCTTCCAAGCGGGAGCGGGTTCAGAAGCGGGCAACGTAGAGGTTTCAGGGGGTGGAACAGTCGCTGCCTCTGTCCACAAAGGTAAGGCGACCGGTAGACCCCGTGCAGGTTCCCGGTCTAGGAGTCAAGTTGACCCTAACGCTCCTCCATGGGAGAAAGCGGGTCTCACAGAGGACGTGTGGAGAGACCGGTATACTAGGTAGGCCTGTATTCGTTGTGGCCAATATGGCCATAACCAATTCAAGTGCCGCAACAAGAAGGTGATCGAGAAGATCTTGCCTACGATGGGGCAGGCGTTGGGATCCTCCGCCCCCGTAGGTAGCAATGTGGCCAGCAGTTCTGGCACTGATCCGGGAAACACGTCGGGCCAGTAGGAATAGCAGTTGTTCCTGCTAGGGTCGAGGTGGTGGACACACCCTCACCATCTCGTGAGATGGCCCAAGCTACTGACTCCATCGTCGTCCCGCAAACACATTCGGACCCAACAATCCCATGTTCGCTGAATGTGTTCGAGTCCTTAGAGGAGCTAGAGGAGGAGTGGTCTAGATCGGACCCGCTAGCTTCTTGGATGGCCATGGCCAAAGCCCCCAAGGGTGAGTTGTTCGTCGGCGAGGTAGTCATCGGCGGTCGTAAGGCCGGGGCCTATTATGACACTTGCTCGACGCGGAACTTCATTAGCCACGCATGTGTTGAGAGGCTGCGCTTACAGGGGCAAGGGCAGCGCCTGAGTCGACCTGTGGAGTCGACCTGTGCCAACAAACAGCACATGGTAGTCAAGGACTACCTCAAAAACATTGAGTGTCTTTTCCCGTATGCGGGAGGGGAACTGAGACGTCGAGTCTCGTTCCTAGTCAGTGATGATCTCCCTATGGATATCTTGTTAGGTATGTACTACCTCTCGGTTGCACAGCCCTAGTTTGACTGGGACTGAAAAGTGGTCAAGCACACTTTGCTCGGTGGAGGGACCGTCTGATTACGTAAGTTCAAGGCTAGTAGTCTGATCGAATCCTACGAATGCATATGTGCGGTCGCGTTCTATAAATATTGTAAGCAAAATCCGGAGGAGGGTATGCATCTAGTTTACGTCTCTGCAGAGGGTGAGCCGGTGAAAACACCTCCAGAGATAGAGGGAGTGGTCGCTAGGTACCCTGATCTATTTGAAGAGACGAAAGGGGTTGTTGAGAGGGAGGTCGTCCACGCGATAGAGATTATCCCACGGTCTAGCATTCTGAAGGGTAGGATCTACCGGATGTCTCCAGGTGAGCTCGATAAGCTTCGTCGACAACTCAAATATCTCATAGAGAAGGGTTGGATCCGGCCTAGTGTTTCCCCTTACGGATCTCCTGTACTATTCGTACCAAAGAAGGGGGGGACCTTGAGGATGTGCATTGACTATAAGGGCCTCAATGCCATCACAGTGAAGAACGTCGAGCCCCTACCGTGCATCAATGACTTGCTGGACTGAGTGCAGGGGTGTCGGTACTTCAGTAAGATAGATCTGAAGTCCGGGTACCATCTGATTGCAATCTGGCCCGAAAATCAACACAAAACCGCATTTCAGACCAGGTACGGTCTGTACGAGTTTGTGGTGATGCCTTTTGGCCTTTGCAATGCTCCTGGCACCTTTCAACACACGATGAATCAGATTTTTCATGACTACTCAGACAAGTTTGTCATTGTGTACCTCGATGACTAGAACTATCAAAGAGCACGTAGCTCACCTAGACAAGGTTCTTGGCCTCCTTCGACAACGCAAGTTCAAGATAAACGGGGAAAAGTGTGAGTTTGGCCGCACCCGTATCTTGTACTTGGGTCATGAGATTTCCGCGGAGGGACTGAAGCCTGATGATGCGAAGGTGGCCAGCATTTGTGACTGGCCGCGACCTCAGTCTGTGACTGAGATAAGGTCCTTCTTGGGGATGACCGGCTACTACCGCAACTTCGTCAAGAACTGTAGTACAGTGGCCGCCCCTTTGACGGACCCGACATGCCTTGACACCCCATGGGAGTGGACAAACAGGTGTGAGGCTGCTTTCAGACATCTGAAGCATGCGTTGACACACCATGAGGTCTTGAAACTTCATGATCCTGACAAACCTTTCGCTGTGACTATGGATGCTTGCCAATATGGCATTGGTGCTGTACTTGCGCAACAGGAGGGGAAGAAGTTGAGGCCGGTAGAGTACATGTCCAAAAAGATGCCCTGTCAAAAGTTGGCTAAGTCCACCTATGAGAAGGAACTCTATGCGATCTACAAAGCGCTAACCCATTGGAGGCACTATCTCCTAGGACGCTTCTTCTATGTCCGGACTGATTATCAGACCTGGAGATGGATGAAGACTCAACCGATACTCTCCGATGCTCTGAAGCGTTGGATCGAAGTCATTGAGCAGTATGACTTCGAACCCCAGTACATTAAGGGGGAGTACAACAAGATTCCTGATGCGTTGTCGTGTAGGCCAGACTTTCTCGGTGCACTGGTCACTGAATGTAGGCTTGCGGACAATGTAACTCAGTCTTTGGTGGAAGCCTATCGCGAGGACCCGTTCATGTCAGAGATCGTAAGCAGACTTGAGGCGAACGATAAAGCTACGTCTGACGAGTTTGAGTTGATCAATGGCTTGCTGTTCCTTGAGAAGGTCGGGAATAAACGTCTTTGTGTGCCTGATAGAGAGTCTTTGCGTAGTTTATTTTTAGGTGAATGTCATGATGCCACATGACATTTTGGATATAGGAAGACTACAACAAACCTGTTGCAGCGGTTCTGGTGGTCCACAATGATGAAGGATGCAAAGCTGTACGTGGAGACTTGTCAAGTCTGTCAGCGAGACAAGCCACGTACTCAGGCCTCTCTTGGGTTCATTAAGCCCCTTCCGATTCTCGAAAGGCCCGGTGAGAGCCTGTCCATGGATTTCATGAACACGCTGGTCACCAGCAAGAGCAGAATGAGATATGTTTATGTCATTGTGGATAGATTTAGTAAGTATGCTAGATTAGTAGCTATGCCAAAAACAGCGAAGACCGAGTACATTATCAGGCTATTTAAGGAAAACTGGGTTAGAGACTTGGGCCTGCCAAAGTCTATAATTAGCGACAGGGATGTCCGATTCACGAGTGATCTGTGGAAGGCCGCAGCTGCCGAACAAGGAACGCAGCTGCCGAACAAGGAACGCAGCTGCAGATGACATCTGGAAACCATCCGGAGGCAAATGGACAGGCAGAACAGATGAACCGCACTGTTCAACACTTGCTGAGGCAATACATTAAGCCTAATCAAGTGGACTGGGATGAGAAGCTTGCTCTCATCGCCAGCTTGTACAACAACTCTGTGCGCAGCGCCACCGGGGTAAGCCCTAACAGTCTGCTACTGACTTTCAAGCCTAGACTGCCCCTAGACTTTCTGTTACCTGAGAACCAGCCCACTGCTGCTCCAGGCACTTTGGAATTTGCCTATAGATATGAGAATCATATGCAGCATGCGGTAGAACACATGCACAAAGCACAGGCGGCGATGATCGAATCTGAGAACAAGCACTGCCGCCCATCTATGTTCCAGGTAGGGGACAGAGTCTGGGTCAAGGCTCAGGTAGGGGACAGAGTCTAGGT